TGGCTGTGTAGACACCTGCATACCAGACAGATGCGAAAGTGCAGCCCAGACTAAACAGACTGTGTTACAGAAATGATTGATTCTAAGATGTTCTAAGATGCTTCAAGGAGTATATTGGGGCACATAAAGCTTAATTTCTAAAGAAAAAAAAAAAAACCAAACCGAAAACCAGATTTCTAGGTGCATGCTTCTTTTTGTTATAAAAGCAGAGGAATTATGAATGAAGTATTTCTTTGACTATAACATATGTTACTATCAAACAGTAGTAAAGGACACAGTCTTAAGAAGTTGACATATTAGTAAAGGGTACATTAAAAAAAAAAACTGACACCCCTTTCCTTAAACCTTATGCAAGTTTTAGATATATTTCAGATTGCTTAGATGTTTCAGGTAATGAATTGTGTATTTTAAACATGAATCCTTGAGAGTATGTCTTGTTAACAAATCAGTAAGTGTATTAATAGGCAAAAATCACGTAAGACATCAATGTACCATTATTCAGTGATTTCAGTTCAAGAGCTTCAGTCTCAAAAATCTCCAACATCAATGCTAGCTAGGTGTCAGAGAACTGACGAGCTATTAATATTCAAGCTAGTAATGCAATGTCTGTCCATAAAATAGACTTACTAAAATTCAGTAGCTACTAATAAAGTTGCTCAATCATTGAATCAACTGTTCTGGCAATCCATCACACAGTAGTTTGTTTCACAGATGCGCTGTGTATCTCTCAAAGTACAGTAGTGTCAGTGTAGATTATTCAAGTGTAGTAACTCAAGATAACTTCACTGTGGTGCAAACAAGAAGAATTAAATGGGATAATTTTGGTACTCATGGGAAAATTGGGGGTTTTGTTGGCAAGTACTGCTGCTCATTATGTGTGTTCCTACGTATCAAGTGAAATAGCTAAAAATAAAAAGCAATTTAGAAAATACGTGTTTGCCATTAATAGACTATAAATCTAGATGTCTGAAAGACATGGAAAAAATCTAGAGCCAGATATGCAAATGCAGACTCAGATTTTTTAATTCTTGAGTGCTTGCTAGCATAAACTGAAAATGAGGCAAAGAATGCTATGCTCTCAGTTTCAGAATGTGAGCCAGAGCATTAAAAACTTGGGCACATAGAGGCTGCCACTTTGCCAATAACAAGGACTGCACTGGGATCCAAAACTAACAGCATAAGCCTTCAGCTAGGGCTAGAGAGCAAACAGAAAGGACTGTGACGGGGAATAAGCTCAGTCCTGATATAAATGGAGAAGATGTACAGACGTGCAGCCACTTATTATACAATTTGGGAACCCATACGCTGCACTAGCTGGTGAAAACAAGGACACTACCCCCTATCCTCCATAGTTAAGTCTGGCATTTGGCACTAAGGAGTCACAGTTTTTGTGGATGGAACGTGTAATACATGCTATCCAATGAGTTACACATAAATTAGACAGAGGAAAGTAGCCAGATGAAGATACTCTAAAATAATAATAGGACATATGGGCTTCAGATGCAAACTGGTGAGCAGCAGGACATCTGTGTCACCAGGATCTGAAGGATGCCTAGCAGTAGAAGGATCAAGCCCTCAATTTATAACAGGCATGCATAAGAGAAAAATCATTATTGATACTTGAAGAATTTTTAAGCTGAGTTTACTGCTGTTAACCAGGTGATAACACGCTGGGCTAGTGAGTGTTATTGGAAGCTGTCATTTTCAGCTGTCATTCTTGCTAACAGAATGCCACATAACATGATGCAAAATATGGCACGTATTTCACCCACTCAGATTACACCTGCTAGTGAGATAAGCCTACGTAGTTAATTTTACTGTTCACACAGTGACAAAATGAAAATCAGAATTTTGCACAGTTTCTAATATTTGTGGTTTTGGTGTTATTTGTTTATGTTTCATCTAAAACTCATTCAGGTGTGTATCATCAAGAGATTTCTAAGTAAAAAGCAACCCACAAAACCCATGCACCTCTAGCTAAAATTGTTTTCTTGGATTCTTTGGACATTTTTATTACAATTTGGTATACCCCTAATGTTTTCACAATTTGCAATTAAAACAAAATCTTTTCTAATTTTTACCTAGCAATAGCTAAATCTACCTCAGCTTAATCCAGGGCTAAAATTAAAACATATAAACCGTCATTTCTCTTGTCCTCAGCACGTAATTTCAGCTTGACAATGGGCAATTTGTTAGTCTACAGATAGAAAGAATCCAGATCTATAATTTAATTATATAAACATCAGCTAAGACAGATTCCAAAGCCACTTGAATATCTGACTTTGATTATATTTCACTAGATCAATAAATATTTCCTTCTCTGTCTAATACTCAGTATCATTTGTAATAAAATGAAAACTGACAATAACATGAAACTATAACTGTAAACACCTTCTACATGAGAAATTAGTTATAGATAAAATAACTTGTGCGTAGTTTTGAATTTTAAGTTTTTAATTTTCTTATGCCTTGCATTTTGCCTGATCATGACAATATTCAGCACACTATTTTAACGGGTTTATTTCCTGTGCTGTCAATGGAGACCACAAAGATTTCTTAAGATGCATCAGATCAATTAGCTCATTAATTCTGAGAGCAAAAAATGTGTAATACTGAGCCACTCAGCTTAAATTGTTTCTGTATCTTTCGTAGCAATCATATTCTAAATACAGTAACTCCCTGAAGTTTTTACATTAATCTTCCTTGAAAAAATTGGTGACAGTTGGAGGAATTGTCAAGTACTGACATGTGGGCATACTTTTGCCTTGAAAGATGTTAAATGTATTTTTTTTTTCCCCTCAAGAATCATGGCAAGTCTTCCCTTTACTTTCAGGAGGGATAAAAGCAACTCACCATCATGAACGTAAATGGTATAAAGCATACACTAATGCTGCATTCACACAGTCTTGAGAAAATTAAGAAGAGTTAGAGAGCAAAACCCAAAGAGTTGATAAACCTACACTATGAGAAACAATACACTAGCCTATATGTAGCTATGCATTATTGTTAGACTCTTTAGTATTGAAGGTGTGCATGTTTACAGCCAAATTTGTATCTCCGATAACAGACAGTGGAAGCAGAGATTCATATTTTGTCAAATTTTTTGTCTTTCAATCCTAAATGAATGCCAGTTTACCATCTTAATTATTGTTACAGTGACTATCTTAAAAACATCTCCATAATCTATATTCTAGTATAATAGATTTTATCTGAGACTACAATCTGGTGTTACATCTTTTAGCAACAAATGACCACATAAAATTAAGTGTTCACTCACTGGGTAATATCACATCCTTAATTGCATCCAATACACCATAATAGATCTGCTATCAGTAAACAGTCCCACGTGTCCAAAGTTGAAGAAATTCAAAATGTAAGCTGCTGTGAGCAACATAACCTAAACTATAGTTCCAGAAAGATACAACTTAAGATAGCTCATCCATTTTTAACAGCTTGCTAAGAATGATCCTTACTAGTAATCAGTTTCCTTCTTTCATAAGTATTTTCCAATATTTGAACTGTTACAATTACATTTGTTATAAGGTCCTAATTGCTGCAAAGACTTACTGCTGAGTACCAAGTAGTACAGAATATTCTCATTGATTTTCAGCACCTATGGTAGGTATGTTCTGTCAGACTTCTTGAATGACCGTGGACAAATCACTCGCATCAGATATTTAGGTACTTAAAGATTCACAGAAGAATGCAATGTAATGAATTGAAATGGGGTTAGGCAGAGAAATGTCTACCTGCACATTTAGGTGACCCTAGTCCTTTAAAAAATCTGTGTGTTCTTCTACCTCCATTCTCATTTGTAAAACCAGACCTAAAGATATCTTCAGTTTCCCAGCCTGTGTCCAGCTGTTTGTTTATGTGGTGATTGTGGAGGTTTGTACTGGTTTCAGCTGAGATAGAGTTAATTTTCTTCCTAGTGGTTGCTGCGTTTTCAGATTTGCTATGAAGAGAGTGTCAATAATGCATATTGGCTTAGGTGCTGCTAAGTGGTTTTAATATTAGTCAAGGACTTTTTTCCAGCTTCCCACAGAAGCTGAGAAGGCGCATAGACAGAACAATAGAATGGCCAATGGAATATTCCGTACCATAGACATCATGCTCAGTATATATATGGAGGTTGGTTGAGGGGGGAACCCATGATCTCTGCTCAGGTTGGGCTGGACAACCAATTCACCGGCCAGTGAGAGTAACATATGTCTTGTGTATTCTTTTACCATTATTATTATTATTGTTGTTATTTTTCTTTTCCATTATTGTTCTATTAAACTGTCTTTATCTCAACCCATGAAGTTTTTCTTCCCTTTCCTCTCCTTTTCTCCCTCTTCTCCCTACCCTTCTCAGGGGTGAAAACAGGGTAAGCAAGAGGCTGCATGGTCCTAGTTACTGGCTGGGATTAAACCATGACAAGGTTCCATATCTGATGCCAGACTAACATTTAAAGGTGGGGACTTAAATAGTTAGGGGTTTTTTTATACCTTCTGCTGCTTCTACGGAGACAATGTCAGGCTCACAGCTCCTGTGATTTGTTGTTCCTGAATGGTTAACAAATGGTTTGCAGTCCCCATGGCAAGCAATGACAGTTGAGAGCTTGCTTTGTTCTAATTTATGTTAATACTGTGAAATATTTTGCAGAAATACTGCAAAAAGAGAGCTCTTAAGCTTAATCAGAAAAGACGTATTAAAAAAGTGTAGGCTTGCACAAAAAAATGCCAGTCCAAAGGACATAAATGTAATATTACATTTACCCAAACGGAATAGGCAAAAAACCTCTCAAATAAGCAATGAATAAATTTGTTTCTAAAATGTCTTTTTAGCCTGAGGAGTCCAGTAAGATGCTGTGACTGGAAAAAGTATGCAGCTGAGCTCGTCTCCCACAAAACTCACCAAGATTTCCCTCTGACGGTATTGTAAACCACAGTCTATTTCTCACTTGAACATTGAAGCTGGTTTAAAAGTAAACAAAGCTCAGCGATTTATGAACTTACCCAGTACAACACATCTGTCCATCCTTCCATGGTTATACACTGGAACACAGTCAACATCGCAAATGCAAAATTATCAAAGTTGGTTATGCCTCCATTTGGTCCAACCCATCCACCCTTACATTCAGTGCCATTCATGACACACTGACGTCCATTCCCTGAGAACGCACAAGGTGCTGGATCTTCTTCAACTAGTATATCTGAAAATTGACCAAAAATAATCAGAACTTTCAGTTCTCAAGTTTTTGCAAGTTAAATCTTTGCATGAAGAATTATCAACCCTGTTGGAAGGTAAAGCCAGATATCAGCATCAGAAATGCTGAGAAAGGCAACCTGTGGGAGCTTCAGAGCTTTTAGTGTCTCTCACATCTGGGCCTTACAGACTTGAAATAAGGCTGAATCAAAACTGAATGTAAATAAGAACATCTGAGTAACTAAGCAGTGGAGTAACTAAACAGTGGAAAGAAGCATGTAATAATACAACATATCTTTTAGATACCAACCATGGTTTGTTATGGTGGGGTTTTTTTTTTTATTGATCTTTCTTCACTTCATACTAACACATGGCCCACCAAGGAAACAGCTCTGGACTAATTCTTTGTACATATAGTCTACTGCATTACTGAGCTGATAGAAATGCACCCTTCGGCATCAGATCTCCCTTGTGATGTTTCACTCCTTCAAAATTCTCCCATAACAAACAATTTCACTTCATCATTTCACTTGGACAGAGGAATACTATTTTCGTTCCTTACTCATTTTGGAACTGCGCTTCTTACCATACTGCCACAATCTTCAAGGATAGACATTGCCAGATTGTGAACTCAGGAAAGTGTACCTTCCCTGTAACAGAACTAGGTACCTCTCCAGTAACCAGAGCTCAGAAAAAACTATCGAGTTGTCCCCTGTGGATAGTCACCCTTACTATCTTCACTACTGACATTTCAGTTACACATTTCAGAAATGAAAACCTATTCAGAGTATGTTCTAATCTCCAACTAGTTTGCATTGCTGCTGTTTTTTTAAATTTAACGCACTCTTCCTAAAATTCTGAATCACAGTGAAAACTGGGGTTACAACAGTTTTAGTGCTTTGGCCCCTGTTCTATTTCAAACTGAAATCCCACAGACTTGAAAGAAAACAGAATTAGTCCTTTATCTTCGTCAACAGTTTCGTGACTTACCTGAATCAATAAGAAAACAAGATTTGTGCATTTTTCCAATAAAAAGTTCCAATCCTATAATAGCATAGATTATGATTACAAACAATACCAAAAGGGCAATATGGAGGAGGGGAACCATGGCTTTTATAATGGAGTTCAGGACAACTTGTAAACCTAAAAGAAAAAAAAGAGGACACAAGATATGAACCAGATTTCTATGTCTTGCCTTACCAAATTTTCTATAATTACACATTATTAGAAATTAATGATACAGGCATGCAGAGTGAATCAGTTTTTAAAAAAATTCTACTGCTCAGATCCACAAAATGTTCCTGTGACATAAAATATTTCATAAGTATTTGACTTTGTCTAATTATTTCCTCTGTTAATAAAGGTTATGCAATAGAAGTTAATGCTTGAAATGTGTCACAAGAATTTATGGGTATTTAGAATAAATGAGAATGTAGTCAGCGTGTGGCTGTAGGTCATTTTATGTGACTTTTTAAAAGTTCTGTGCTACAACCACAACTTTGTGGCAAGTCCTGAGACTACGTATGCTCAGCCAACTGCAGAACGGTATTTTTGGTCTGGAGGGAGAAATAAAGCATAGTTACCTGGGAAAACACATTTTTACCCTGAACAAACTTACTTTTTCATAATTTATGCCTCATCATTTTCAGAACTACTACAGTTTTCTTTTCTTTCCTCCTTAATTAAATATTTAGCCAAATTTTCGTCTTACCAAAAGAAGTAAATCCCAGACTAATGAAGCTGCCACAGTACCAAGGAGGAAAAAAAAAAAAGGCTCATTTTTATTTTAATAGAATTCCCTTCTGATATTTCATAAGACTGCTTCTTTCTTCACTGAAGTTCTCTTGCTGAATATATACCATCACGATCATTTCCATGTAACAGACTGATATAATAAACAAAGTATATAGGATTCTTTTTTTGAATGTCTTGGGAAGAGCTGAATTATAAGCCATAAACCTCTTCAGTCCAAACAGCTTCCATAATTAATAATGTATCAAAAGAAAACAGGAAAGATTATCAGAAAATTCAACTGGTTTCTTTAAATAATATTGTTCTACTTTTTAACTTTCCTAATTTATCTGTTAGGTCTACTGGGATAAACAGAAGGCATTCATGTGCATTGGAGGGGGCAGGAAATATGAAATGTGTAATGTGCTTTGGCATACATTTACCAACATATAAACTATTTTAGGACCACCTACACTTTCAGATCTGCAAGGTTTTGGAATAAAAAAAAAAATCTGATTTTTTTTTTCTGATGTATTTGCATTTTAACATGTAATTTACTTTTATATAAAGCTTCAAAAAAAGAAGTGTATTCCCCTGTCTGCTTATTGAACTGTGTAAGAAGATCATACACTGAATGAATTCACAATCCTTCGTTCAACTTGAAATAGGTTATCATTCATCTCGAAACCCACTTTATATACAGAATCAGATAACAAGAAATCAACTTTATATTATCGCATTTCTGTTAGTGTCTGGAACAAGAAAGTTAAATAATCAGACCAGTCACAGTATTCATTCCAATGGAATTAAACAGAAAAGAGCTTACTGGGCACTCCTGATACAAGCCGGAGAGGTCGCAATACACGAAAGGCTCTTAGGGCTTTGACATCAAAGCCACCAGGTTTGCCACCTGAGTGGCTGCCACCTTCTGTTTCTTTGGTTAATTGTTCCAATATTACACTAAATAATCTAGAAAATGAGATGAAGGGTAAGGTCAGCATCATCCATTTATCATGCAATCAAAGGTATTAGGAAATTACTTGAACTGCAGACAATTCTGAAAAGCTGTTCAGCTGTCAAATTGAGAGGTATATTTACACATTAAATCATGACAGGAAGAGTTATGAAGTGCCATAATTTTTAATCCCTCCAGAGAGTGATGATCACACAGTATTCAATAAATTAACATTCTGCTTGTATACACAATCTGCTATTTTTAAATAAATGAAGCTACTTTGCCACTTCTTTGTTTAAATGTTTGAGCTGTAAGGTTTGGAGAATTAGTCTTCTCTTTAGAACATGAAATAGATAATCACAAGAAACCATGTATTTTAATTTTGGTGGAATATATGAACTCCAAGTGACACTGCAGCTCAATATTCCAAATACAGTCAGCAAAACCAGAATGTGTGAGAAGTAGAGTCCAACATTTAACAACACCAAAAAGATTTGTTTCTTACACATAATATCGTTGAAGATTAAAATATTCCCAGATGACTCATTTATTATATTGTATTTCTTCACTGCAGAAATGAACTAGTCATTCATTAGAACGCTTTGGAAAACGAGTTTTATTTTTCTTTCCCAGATCTAGCAGCAATTCAAAGTGATGCCAATGGTTGAAGTGTAAAATAATCTTAGGTTTATTTTAGTTTGGACCTGCATTTCAGATGCATGGTTTTCTAGACTGGCTAGACCATGCAAACCATATTAGCCTTTGCACAGAATCTGTAGTTCAGTAGTTGTAGAACTGAACTCCTCCTGAAGGGATTATCAAGTCAATAGAGTTTTGTAATCCTGAAAAACATTTCACACTTGTAAAGAACGCCTGAAATGCACAAGTTTTGTGTTTTGTCAAGAAAGCTTTTCACAACTCTGGTTCACAATTCTGTCACACTGGATAGTTGCTAGAAATCATGTAATATTTAATAGGTTGCCCAAACTAGGATATTGAAGACTCTCCCCACAGTAAGCAATTGACTTGCATTAGTCAATACCCATGCCTATTCTGCTTCAGTCCCCTCCAGAGTGAAAGCCAGCCACGAAGACTACAGAACTAAGAATGAACACCAGCAACCCACGTACTGCTATAACCATAGAAATCCAGACATTTAATATTTCAGGTCCTGATTCAGCCCTGTAATTGAACAGAAGCATAATTCTAAGAAAATGAGCCATCTCAATGATTTCAGAGTGACTATTCATGCTCTAAAGGCAGACATGATTAAACAGGCTTCTGAATCAAGTCCCAAATTAAGAGAAGCTGTTTTCAGTCTGTCAGTCCATACATCATTCAGAAAATTAAAGGGCTACAAGCACAGGAAGGTGCTATGAAAGCTTTCTCTTCCAGGACCTTATTCTTTCATAGAAATAAATGAAAATTATGTGGTATAGCATGCAGGCAAGTAGTAGACTGCTCTGAAAGTAATTCATACTTTGACTTTGGAGAGAAGTGACAAAGACAGGAGAAAACATCTCATTCACAGCTATGTCTACAGCCCTGTCATTTTATGTCTATCCTATAAAGCCATTTAGGTATAAAACCATTGATCTCCTTTATTACTTCTAAAATTAACATTTATTTTCCTGTACAGTTTACCAAAGTTTAAATGCTAAATTTAATGTTGTGGAAAAAAAGTTTCTATACATACTTCCCTTTTGCTAGTAGAGATTTCTTTTGGTATAATTAAGATTTATGCATTTGGACAGCTACAGTTTCTGCTGAGAAAGCACATGAAGCAAATTTCATCTAATACATTCAATACAGGACATCTTGGCAGATCTTTCTGAGCTATTAAAATACCTAATGAAATTTCACAATGAAACTAGTCAAATAGAATCAGATCCAGAAGTGATTCCATACCCACCTTGGGTTATATATGAAAATCAATTCTTCACTGGGCTTTTAAGCATTAATTAAATAAATGGACTTATGCTTGCTTGCTTACTTGCTTATGTGGATTGTATTCTTCTTAGAAGAAACAAAAACATTGCTCAGATCTGTCAGTGCCTGACATGTTATGAAGGGTCCACCTTGTCTTCCAGGTAGACTGATGACATCTTACACAACAGTTTATATTCCAAAACTTTGGGGGTTGAGCTAGGATTTAAATCTTAATATGATATTTTAGGTATTTGATAAGGTGTAGTCCTTCTTTCTTCATGTTTTTCCATTTTTCCCATTTGACCTAACTAGATTTAGCCTCCAATAATGAGTGGTTTAGGAGTTAATGGAAAATTTTTTAGTTATTATGTATTTAGGACACAGCCAAAGATAGAGGTCATGTTAATTAGACTGCTCCAGGGTTACTGTAACTCCATGGTCACTTGACAAGAGGAAAGAGGTCTATTCAAGTGACTGCCTGGCAAGAGAATAGAGCTCTTATGTGTGATAGTCTCCACACCTGCCCACCAAGCTTCCCCTTCAGGCATGGAGGACAATCTGTTGAGAATGACCTGACCTGATGAAGGATCTATTTATACAAATTTTAGCCCTGGACCAAAGCTGCCTGAATGCCAAGCAACTGGCCCAAATACCATCTTCTCAGTAACAATTACTATCTCAGAATCAAATAGTTATAAATCGGGTATTCATACATTCATAATACTTGCCCAAATTTAATAATGTTTTACTACAATTTCCTTTACTTTGCACCTTTTTCTTTTCTCCTTAATGTAATGATGTGAGCTAAGAGCAGCACACACTCTAATTTCTGGGCCTTTTCAATCACAGGCAACCCTTGATATAGTTTGAACTTAAAAATGAAACTAGAATGGCAAACTACCTGCCAACATCTTCCTTGCAAGCCAGCCACAACACAAAGTTATATGCGGATAATGTTCTCCATGTGCTATATCAATAAGTGTTTTTAGTATACAAAATTTACAGTACTGGAAATTCCTTTTTTTTTTCCTCAATATAATCTCCTCCGTATTTAGGGAATTGGGGAATATATGCCTCAAGATTTATTCCCTAGATAGCTGAAGGCAGGATCTTCTAATGAACTAGCACAACGATTGACACAAAGTTGCTGACAAAAAAGCCAGATGTGTTATTTATCATAAGCAGCTGCATAATATAAGTCTGGGACATACTCTCCACTCTTCTGTAACCTGCATAAGGCCCGAGCAGCCCCTCCTCCAAGGATCAGAACAAACTCTTCAGGGTTTGCTGTGTACAGCAAGGCATACAGAGTTAAAAAAAAAAAAAAAAAAAGGGCATTTTTAGCATACATTCTCCCTGAGGCAAGCCAAAATCATAAATATATAGGGCCTGATGTACAGCACCCCAAAGGAAAGTATTTAAGTGTTCAATTTTCCTCAGATTTTGGGAAGGTCGAGGAATCACACAGTTAACTCTGTCTCCCCTGACCACTCTTCTCCACTTCAAAACAGGTGAGTTTTTCGCAGAGGTCTTTGTAGAACAGATGAACTCCACATAACCACAGTATAGGGGTAAATGAATAAATGACAATATATTGACCTAAACAGATCAATCTTTATCACACACCAAGAGTTCACCTTGGAAAAATCAGATGGAAAAGATTCTGCAAGACAACAACCACGGAAAATTCTTGGCAGAACTCAGAATTCCCTGGGAACTTTTACGATAAAGCTGATTGTGCAACACAGCCTGCAGCCACAGAGAGCATTGATGGACTTTTTCAATTTTCACTCGTATCAGTTTGTTCTTTTACTCCGACGGAATAGAAATCAAGTATTGGCTGTTACTCACAGCCAAACAGACCTATATCTACCTCACTGTAAAGAAGATTTTAAATCTTTGTGTAATGAAGGATAAGTTACTTACCCTACTACTACGATTACAAAATCCAATAAATTCCATCCATTTCTAACATACGCATTGGGGTGTAATAATAATCCATATGCTATAATCTTCAAAAATGTTTCAACTGTAAAAATTATCAGGAAGGCATATTCTACTTTTTCCTGTAAAAGACAAAAAAAAAGTACAATGAAAGAAAATGTAATTTAACAGCTCTTTTACCAGTTAGAATTTGCAGTAAGTGATTAATTTGTATTGATCAGGACTAAGCAGATACAATAATTCATGGCAGTTTATTTTACAGGTTTTAATTGCATAGCACTTAATGATAGCTGTATTGACAAGGTTATAAATACATAATTGCATGAGATTTTCCTGTTTTCACATTCTGTGAGCGAAAAAGGTTCTATTTCTGCAAACATGGAAGTATACCATACCTACGTTTAAGCAAATAGCCCCTTCCAGGTCAATAGGATTCTTTGCATTCATTAAAACCAGAAAATGCTGTAGAACAGGGCCCTGGAAATATCCTTAAAAGGTATGCAGTGGTGTGCTTACTTTCACTATTCATTTGGTCAGCCTTTATTTAATTAGCAGCCACAGAGTTCTACTTAATAAAGGAGTTTGAAACAGCGTTATCCCATACTAAGGAGATTCAAAAAGTTATAAGCTAATTAAGAGGGTCTTCATTTAATTTTACATTGTCTTGCAGCTTTTTCGTCTTGACATGAAAGCTTACATTGACTTATTCTTCCTTCCACATTACCAGAATTTCTTTATATCACCCAATATGGTTGAAGAAATTTTAAGGTAATATATCACCACCTTGTATCATTGCAGCTCCAACTTCAGATTTGTTTCAATGCTTTCTTTAAACATTATTAGCCTCCTCATTTTACAAGAATTCTTACTTTAAACAGTTATACGTTGAATCTCTTCTCCTAGCTAACTGGATAATAGATTTTTTGTGGCTTCTTCATTCTATAATAACATCATATTTGATTTGGATAAATTGTAAAAGTCACTGCTATCAAAACAGACCAGTTAACACATTTTGTTCTTTTTACCCTCAGAAATTGTCGTTTCATCCCTTTGTATAATACTTTTAGTTATCTGTTGCTATGCAAATATCAGAGCCAAGTATAAAAGACACAAAGACAATGATTCGTTTTGGGTTGTTTTTTTTTTTTTTAACTTCTTCAGGAACACATGATGTTGCTCACTTATCACACACAGCATTAATTATATGGACTATAACTGCTCAGTAAGGATTACAATCTTTACTATCATATATTCAAATATAGCACAGATATTACACACAGAACTACATATCTCCTATTTGTTGCACAGCTTGGCACTTTCTTTAAACAACAAAATAAAAAATAAGCCTTGATAATTTGCAGTTTAAACAAAGATCTTTATATTCTCATGTGCAAAGTCTTTAATTTGGGAGGCTAGATTTCTTTTCCTCAGGGTTGGTTATGTATAGGATGTGATATATCCATTTATAAATCTGACACCGGTGACTTAATAAATGTAGAGGTTTGTCAGTAACCTACATACTCCTTCTCCAGGTCTTCATCTCCAACAAGCAGCACCCTGGGATCACAACGAGAGGCAAGTTTATTCCTAGTGCGTAGCAAGGATTCCTGGATCTCATTCTCTCCTCAGCTCAGTCCCATACTCCTGCCTTTTTCCTCTGGTTTGCGTACGCTTCATAAACACTATAGAGCTTCACCCAAGGCAGCTTCTCCTGAGCTGCATATTTTGCCTGAGATCTTCTGGCCCAGTGGAACTGATGGACATCCTCCTTCTCCTCACTCCCTTCTCCAGATTTTTCCCCTCATATTTATTTCAAATTTGTCCCTTCCATTTCATTTATCACTAATAAACTGGAACAGTTACTGGATAACAAGAGTGAAGTGACCTCAGAGAGGAAATATGAATGGTGTGCCAAAAGCCATCAGATTTCTTTGGCTAGAGAGCACCACAGAGGTTACAATAATATGAATTATCAACATTCCTGAGAAACATACTGCAAAAGCACTTAAATTCAAGCAAATCCTACCATGTACACATCTCACAGTAACAGTTATTTCTGTCTCCCTGTATATAACTAAGTCTGCAGCGTGGATATAGAAAGATAAATAATGTAAGACAACATAAGGAAGACAAAAAAATATTATGGTTGGCATTTGCTATGGGCAAAATATATACCAAAATCATAGTAAAAGAAAACGTGAGACAAAAAGGAGAGAGGAAGTTTCATATATGCATAATTTCAACAGCTTCTTTACATGAAGGGAACATAGGACACTGGACTGGATGGGACCTTGTGGGCCAAGATGACCTCTTGTGTCATCATGTTCAGTATCCTGTTATTACAGGCAAATATGTAATTTAATTCCACCCATCAACCTATCAGATTCCATCTTAAAAAGCATCTTCTCCGTTCACTGCTCCCCTTCAAATAATGTTCTAAAGCTCTTCTTCTATTTGGGCTCGACACCAGTCCCAGTGTAACTTCCTTAGTCACAAATGCTTTTAACGTGACTGTTCAAATCTAACCACTCTACCCTACCACTTAGCATCCATCTTTTAAAATAATATTGGCTCTTGTTCCTGTTTATTTTATTTTCCTTTTATGGAAGCAGGACAGTTTCTTTATTTCCTAAACACTATTGCAAACATTCTATTCAAACAATATGGGACGTAAGACAAGCTCATTTTTTAAAACCAAGGTGGGCTTAAGGTCAGTGTGTGCCACTTAGCAGATGGACCGTAAGAAACCTTGACAGCTAGACCAACCGAAGCCACATGAGTCTCAGCAAGGAAAAATGTAAAGTAATGCAGCTTGGGTTAAATAATCCCACATCAATACGGGCTGAGAAAGGACTTGGAAGTCACACTGGGCACCAAGCTAAATATGTGCTCATTGTAAATCAGACAAATTCCATATTGGTCTGTATTAGGAACACCATGGTGAGCAGACAGAGGGAAATTATTATCCACCTCTACTCAGTGCTGTGAGACTGCAACACTACTACAGTTTTGGGTCTCTTAGTTCAAAAAGGGGGTTGAAAAAGCACAGACTCCAGTGAAAGAAAGATCTCTCCATCAAAGAGGAGGTGAAGTGAAGGTCTAACAGTAGATTACAACTACTTGAAGGGGGGTTAAAAAGACCATGAAGCCAAACGCTAAGTAGCGGCACATGGTAAAATAAGGGGAAACAGCCAAGCTCCGGGTTTAGAGGTTCACAGAATGTTAAGAGAAACTTCTTTATCAGAAGAGTAGTGCAGAATGGGAAGATACAGCTTCAAAGCAGAAAGTTTTGAAGATGCAGGTAGACAAAGGTACAGCTGACCTGATCTAGTGCTAGCAGACAGTCCTGCTAACTAGTGTAACCATTACACACGATGGAGCCCTGCTTTCCTGGAGACGGCTGAACACCTGCCTGCCAATGGGAAGCAGTGAGTGAATTTCTTCTTTTGCTCTGCTTGCACAGCTTTTGCTCTACCTATTAAACTGTCTTTATCTCAACCCACAAGTTTTTCCTCACTCTTACTCTTCTGATTCTCCCCCCCCCACAGCTGGGGGGAGTGAGTGGCTGCATGGTCCTAGCTCCTGGCTGGGATTAAACCACAACACATGGTCTCGCACACTCACTTTTTTAAAATCACAACTTGTGTTTTCCACAGAGGCCAGATGAATGATTTGGCCCAGTAGTTAACAATATTCAAAGTACAGGCTGTGCTTTCTTCACAGACAATCTTTTCTCTAAATAAGTAGGCAGCCAACAGATGTTCTAACACAAACTGCAAAGTTAGCAACAGGCCCACCCTTGGGAAGTTACTGACAGTCCCTTCTCACACCTTCGTAACTTCTTGTCAGTCACTAAGGACACCAAATTTTGCCACTGCAACCAAGATACATCTGTAGGCCATACGTCACCCAGCATGTCCAGAACTTAAGCAACCATTTCTCAAGAGTAAAATTCATACCATTTTCAGTATTATTGGAAGAGTTGCAGAGGTAGGGTTGCTATGTAAAAATAAGTCTAAAGCAGTAAGAGAGAATTTAAAAATAGAGACTAAAGATTGGAGTTCTAGCAGTTTACAATGCACACGTTTATCTGCTTTATTTTCTCTGTAGTGGAGAAAACTAACCCTGCACATCTTATTTTGTTCAAATTAGTCTAGAACTTTAAGTGAATATTTTATTTCATTAAAAATTGAAGTAGGAACACTAAGAAATAAGACAAGCAAAAAAAAAGTAAGGAAATACATAAGACGAGTGATTGCCTGAAAAATAAAATCTGTATTAAAAGAAACTGAGAAGACAATTTTGATTCTAAGAAACTGCACAGATTAAATTAGAAATTGTACATAAGTTCTAATATCTATTATTGCATTTAGTTCTACATTGCATCACAAAAGTAGCAGAGAAAACCTGACAGCTGTAAATCTAAAGAAGATATGAAGCACAAAAATATGTCTGTGTTACTACGGATCTAATCCTACAGCTCTACAGATTGAGGGTAGTTTGTTCACTGATTTGATACCACACAGAGCTAGGTCATCTCTCTTTACAGGTGGCTGATTCCTGCAAGGCTGTGTAACGCTTTTGTTAATGTTACTCAAAATCTTCCAAGTCTCTGCAATCTTTTCCTGAGTACATGATGCAACAACAGGACAGAGAAGATACACTGCCTTTCTGCTAGAGACCAATAAGCTTCACTTTGATATTGGTCATGGAGCACAGAACAAAGGCTACCTTTATCCACTGAGTTTCAGTGAAGCTATTAGAACTTCATTTTCTCAGAAAAAAAATGCATTCGCTTTCTTATTTTAAGTAAATCAGCTTAGCAGAAACCCTGTTGCTCAGGAAGAAATCTTTTTTTTTTCCCCCACCCTAGCCAGATGGTGTACATTAGTCATCATTTATTATCTTCATATTTTCAAAATCTCTGAAAGAAATATGCAAAGCTACTGTTACATGTTGTAATGTGATGCCAGAACTCTGCATTTAACTTAAAATGTCTCACAAGGTTTCAAAATAAAAAGTCATTCATTTGCAAAACCCTAATCTATTATGCTATGTAATTAAATCTTCTCACATTAATTTCTACTTCCTGGGCATCAGAAATCAGAATTATTTCTTAACT